GCAGCCGGGGATCGAACCGGCGCCGCAGAGGCTGCGGGCAGCTTCGCAACCCAGCGCTCAACCGCTGCGCCACCGGGGAGGCCCTGACAATACTTTTTTGAAAATATCTTTGCCTTAATATTTGTGCACAGTGCTTCTGGCTATTAACTTCCTGTGCCCCCTTTCTTTCCCTGGAGTCTTTTACAGACCCCTCCACTGCCTCCTTGTATTGCACTGAATTCTATGGAACAATGAGTCCAGGCCAATCTTATTATCCCTGATGAAGCACCTGATTCGGGGGGGAGGGGACAGAAGATGGAGGAGGTCTAGATACTCACAGTATTATTCCTTTATTTGAAGTCCTGCAATGTTGACAGGCAAAGTCTTGGTATTACTTGTTCTAAGGTGTTTTTCCTAGGACACAATGTACCCTACCAACAGCACATAGATCTCGTATTTATTTCACACAATTGTTCTCAGTGAACTGTTCTAAATTTTTCCCCTTCCACTTTTCTACTCCCCCTCCTTAAGATGGCACTTATTATTATGTTGGACCTCCTCGGAGTTTCTTCCATTTCTGTCACTTTCCCTTTAATCTTTTTTTGACCATATACACATTCTTAGGTATTTGATTATGTACATTTTAAGTGATGTTATTTTAGATTCTTTGTTGTATTTGTTGTTTGTCTAGAAAAATGCAACTGATTGTACATTGACCATATAGCCAAAGATCTGTTACACATTGTTAGACCTTTTCAACCATGCACAATACCCTCTGTGCAATGTTCTGTTATATTTTGCTTTTTATTCTTCTCTTTCTCTCTGAGCTTATATTTTGATGTTTTTCTAGTTTTGATGTTTTATAGTTCATTAATCCTGGCATCTGCAGCATCTGATCTGTTCTTATCCTATTAATTGATGGGTTAACTTCAAATATTAGTATTTGTCAGCCCAGGATGACCATCTGATGCTTTTTTGTAGATTCAATCTGTCTCTGATAATCTCTGCTATTGAACCATTTTGTCCATTTTTTCTAGATCCTTGATCATACTAATCAGTTATTTTAAAGTTTTTGGTTGTTGTTTTTTGTGATAACTGGTTTATAAGTGGGTCTGCTTCTGTTGTCAGCTTTTTCTCTTGATTTTCACTTATATGGTCTTTTTTCCTATTGGAGTTATTTTTTTTCCACATAGTAAAATATCTTTATTTATTTTTATTTATTTTGACCCAAATCCCTCCTTCCCCCCCTGGAGTTATTTTTTAAAAGAATTATTCCTTTATTGTAAGATTTTTATTTATTTTGCAAAGAGCTGGGGTGTAGGCCAGAAGTGGCAGGAGGTGAGAGGTTTCACCAGAGACAGAGTGGGAAGCAGAACAGGCAGAACCACTGAAACACACTGCTGAAGGGAGCAGTGGGGAGACAGGAGAGGTCTGCTGTGCCATGTGAGTCAGCTCCCTGGACAGGTATTGAACTCAGACCGATGCAGTGGGCCTGCATGGTGCTAGTGCTGAGATTTAATCCCTAGGCTACCAGGGATGCCCCTCTTGGAATAATTTTAAGTAATACAAAACATTGTGCTGGGAAAGTTTCTAGACAATTTTTCCCCACCCCAACCCCACCCCAGTTAGAGTTAACCCCTCTGCAAATTTCAGAGTGGGGTGTTGAACTTGCACAGCCTCAATAAAGGCAGAAGTGAGTCCAGGTTCAGTTACAGTCTTGGTTGGCGCTACCTCCAGTTCATCTTGTTCTGTAGTGGACTCTCACTCAAGGGCCTGGCAGATCTTTGTCTCAGCACAAATAGACTACAGAAGATTCTCTTCTGCCTTTGGGAGTTTTGGCTTTGCTCTTAGTAGCCTGTCCTGAGCTGCTTCCATTTGTAAAAAGTCTTTGGAGAGAGGGCACCAGCCTAGTGTTTGAGGTCCTTCAAGTCTCCACTTTCATCTGGCTGCCTACAGAATCAGCAAGTATTCAGGGAAAAAGCAGCCACAGATGGCTGATGGCTGTTGTCAGCTCACCATGCCCTCCAGCACTTTCAGCTCTTGCCAGATTATTCTTAGGAGCTCCAATCCCTGGCAAGTCGTTGTCTTTTCAAGAGACTCTAGAAAATTCCACTGTTTTTCAGAGGTCTTTAGCCTCTCACATTATACAGCTTCCCAATTCAGCCCCTGTTTTGAGATGGAATCAGGCTGGGTGTTTGTGGACCTTCCAGTCTCTAATTTTTCACTCCGTCGCAGCCTCATGATCCTGTCCAAATTTCAGCCCAGAACCATCCTGTGGCCTGGAGGGAAAAGCAGATGCCCACTCTGAGCGCTCCTCCCAGCCCAGAATTCTAGTTCCTCTGGTCTCTCTTGCTTCCACAGCTCCCTGATGCTTTGGAAAACAGCCTTTAATTTTATCCACATTTTCTGTATCTTGACAGTAGTATTGGTCTCTTTCAAACTACTCCATTTTACCCCAAAGGAGGGAAGGTTTTTTTAAAGGTAGAAGGAATGAAGCCATGTGTTCATGTTGATGGAAGTGATCCAGGAGAGAAGGAAGGAGTAACGACAGGCAAGCTATAAGCCTAAGAAAGTTCTTGAAGGAGGTGGGCACATGGGTGAGAGCCCTGGAAGGGAGGAGGGCCTCTCTTCCCATAACTGGAGGGAAGAGGGAGAAGTAGCAGGGTGAGATATATAGGCTTCAGATTAGTGGGGGCAAGAGACACCCCTTACTTCCCCTTTCACAAGGTAACATTATAAAAGGTTTAGAGAGACCACAAAATATTGGAGATAACTGAGAGATCATCACAGAAGACATATTTATGATCTGGAGTAGAGATGACATTCTTAAAGATGACATAGAAAACAAAAGGCTGGCTAATGTTGTGATGCCCAAAAGTGCAAATGGCCAAACATTCAGTAAACATAATGGCTAGAGTGAGAAAGTACTAACAATAGACAGCAAGGTGGGGCCAAAATAAGGGGGGTGCAATTGTATGAGGAATATAAAAATATAATAAAAAAACAACAATAGACAACAAGATATTTGTTGCCAGAATATATAAAGAACTCACAAATCAGGGCCTCCCCTGGTGGCGCGGCGGTTGAGCGCTGGGCTGCAAGGCTGCCCGCAGCCTCTGCAGCGCCGGTTCGTTCCCTGGCCGCCGGCAAGGCTCACACACACACACACACACACACACACACACACACACACACAAGAACTCTCACAAATCAATAAGTAAAAAGAACTGCCCCTTAGAAAATAGAGAAAGGCTCGAATAAATGCACAGTAAAGGAGACACAAACAGCCAAAGTCCATGCGAGAAGACAATCATACAAGTGATGGAGAAAATGCAGACTTTCAAAAGGAGATTATTATTAAAAGCTGTAATATCGGCAGGGAAAAAAGGCACTGATCCTGTGAAACATGACAAGTGGTACAATTTGCCCTATTTGCCAGCCCCCTAGTGTAAGATTTGGGGTGAGCTGAAACCAGGCCACCCCAGGCAACTTCCACAAAACTGGCGCACTGAGCTGGGCAGGCAAGTTCCTTTCCTCAAGGTGGAGCCAGTGTCAGAAGGAAAATTTTGGTGTAGAAGAGATAAATGTTTGAATTGGAGAGAACTTGGATTTTTCCCTTGAATTTTGCAAGACAAAATCTCTTGGGAGCTGAGGCCTTGGCAAAGGGAAGCCTCAGGGGGCATTCCCTGAACCTCTATCCTGCCTGCCCACCTGCAGGATAAACCCCTGGTCTGTTGGCCCAGCAAGAGCCTGGCCTCTGTGGTTCAACTTGTCTCGTCAGGAAGCACTGTGCACTGCCAGTTCTTTTATGAGTAGGTCTGTAAGGCTGGTGTCGCTCCCAAGGACAGACAGACACGCTTCCCCGTGGGCGGGGCGGACTCAAGCAAATTGAGAAACTGAGGAGAGACTTTTCTCAGGTAGCCAGGGTCTGTCCCTACCTTGCAGACTGGGGTCTCTAGTATTGTCAGAAGGGCTTTCACAACTTCCCTGCTCCAAAGGAAGGGGGTGTGGAGTGGGGTGGGGTGGGGAGAGGAGAGTTCACCTTTCCCGGCAGAGCTCTGTGGAGGACCAAGGGTTAATTCATCTATCCAGCCCTGCCTTAACAATAGAGAGAGGGGGAGGCTGAGGGGCCAGTTCCTCCTGCCACTGTAGTAACATTTTCCCTTTGCAAATAAATCCAGGAGCACACAATGTCTTGCCGTGTGGGGGATCTGCCTCCCTTTCAGACTGAAGGATGTTTCCTGCCTGATAGCATCAGATTCACTTGACCTTGACCCTTAGATGGGGGTTCGCATTGCCCAGGGGGTGCTGAAGGCTTTGTCTTGTCACCACTGTCTCCCTGACAACCTAGGAGCTTGGAAGCTACGGGACCACCTTCAAACAGCCCCAGCTCCATTCTCATCCTTCCTGTGGTGTGACCTTGAGCTCATAACTGAACACTTCTGAGCTTCCTACTCACCTGTAGCCTGAAGGTAAAATCTACCTCATTAGGATGTTGTAAGAAGTAATAACTTTGGAGACACTCCTGGCCCATGGCAGGGCCTGTCCACAGGGATTCACTAGCTGGGGGGCAGACACCAACCCTTATTCCTCTGTGCGCCCCGAACACCATCCCAGGTGGAAGACATAGGAAGGACCCAGCAGAGACTTGTTGGACTGAAACGTCCTTCGGTCCAAGTGGCTACCTGGCTCAGAGCAGCTCGGCCAAGCCCATCAGGAATTCGGGTGTGCTAGAAATAAGGGCATTTGGAGACACCCTTCTTGCCAAGAGCTCCTAGAACAAGTGCTCAGAAATAAAGTGCCCCAGGGCAGCAGAGGCCTTGGGCCTCTGTGTGCAGGGAAGTAAGAGAGGTCCATCTGAGGGGCCAGGAGAGGCAAAGCCGAGCAGGGTGGCCTGCCCAGGGTCTCTGTCTCATCATCTGTTCGCAGGTCCACTTTGTGACGACATGGTCAGCCCACACAATGACCCCACACAATGGCCGGGCGGGCGGGATGTGTGCCCTGACTGGCCTCAGAGCCTGCCTTTGCTCCCTGGAGCCCCCCAACCCTGGCTCCCCTCTCTCTCTCCATCCCCAGCTCCCCCCTCCGCTGCAGTGCAGCTCCAGGCTCCATCTGCACCCCTTCTGCAGCCATTCCCTGCAACTCTTTGGGCTGCAGTTTTAAAGGATTCTTCCTTTAATCCATGAGAAGCAAACAATGGCTGTCTAAGTGGGTCACTACCTGCAGGCCTGTGGCAACCTATTATCGGGAAAAAATTGGGTCTCTGCAAAGAGCAAGCGTCTAACCAGCGATGGGCGTAAGAGGAGGGGGACTTGCGGCCCCTCTGCTCCTCTTCCCGTTTTTGGTGAAAAGGGACGCAGAGCACCACGGTCCCTTGGCCAAGTCCACGGAACTAGTGAGTGGAAAGCCAGAAGCTGCACACCAGTGCGACTGCTTCCAAATCCAGGCTCCTCCGTGCTCCCGGGGAATGTGGTGACGCTGCAGGCTCTGTTCGTCAGTTGATAGGACCCCAGAAGCCGGCAAGTCCATCACCGTACACTGATGGAATCCCTGCAGGCTGCTGGGAGCTTGGAGCTGAAGAGGGAGCAGCCCCGGCGGACACAGGTGCCTGATACACAGCAGGCCTGGCGCTGGGGCCCCTAATCCCCCCTGCCTCGGCAGCGGGACGGCCCAGCCCTGAGCCTTCTCAGCCCTGAGCCAGCTCACAGTCCTATTCCCTCTCGATTGGGAGGAGGAGAGCTTGTCCCGGAGGGAAGTCTGCTGCCTTCGAGAATCCAGCACCTCCAGGCTGCGTGCTGGCCCCTTTGGTGTCATAAACTCAGGTCTGAGCCCCACCCACACACCCGCTCCTCCTGCACAGAAGATTGGCCTTAGTGTTGCCAGGGAGCACCTTCCACCCCCAGTCCAATGCCCCCCCGCCCAGCACACACAAACACACCACGCTCACCCTTTGTGGAAACTGAGGCTGCCTGTGACCCAAGCTTTGCCTTGCTTTCCCCTCCCTGCTCACCACCTCCCCAGTCCCAGTGGGCTGATAGGACCGTGACTCTAGCTTCTTGGCTATAGCTTCCTCACCCTCTCCATCCGGGGATGCAGGAGACTCTCAGCCATGTGTTTAAGGCTTGTCTTACCTCTTTTTTAGGATCTAGATCGGCCCCCTATGTGCCATGTGGACCCCAAGCTTTGGGGAGCAAGAGGCCCATCCTGTCACATACACAGAGCCTGGGAGTGGATGACGAGAGTGGATACCCCATCACATAACAGGTAAGCATCATACTTCCTGCCGGGTCATTGTTTCATTTCTCTCCCCACCCCCTTGTGGGGCCTGTTCTCCCCCTGTGTCTCCTCTGCCTCTGGGGGGTGAGGGAGCAGCCTCCTCTGCTGACCTCCCCACCCCATGCAACCAGCCCCTGGATAAAAGTGCTTTGGACAATTTCAGAACCTAAAACACACCGCAAGGCACAATGGGAGCCATTGCTGTTGGGGTTGACAATGGCGGCCATCTGTGGCTGTTCTCAGGTGAGACGTCACCCACCTGTCGGGGCAGGTGCACCTCTGTGCTGCCCCCGCCCTCGCTTGCTTCCCGTGATTCAGGAAGGATTTCCCAGACCCCTGCTGCATGCCAGGCTAGGCCTTGGGTGCTGGGTCCAGGGCTGGCCGGGGAGAACCCGTCTCTCCTGCTGTCGTCAGCGTCGAGTCTAAAAGGGGCCATGAGCAGCCAAACTGTTTGGCTCTGGGGGGTGGTCAGGGCTCGGGGAGGGAGCCTGTGAAGACAGAGCCTGTGAGAGGAGGCGTGACGTCAGGGGCTGTGGAGCAGAGTGGGGCCACTTCACGATTTGGGGGAACATGTTCCTCAGACACAGAACACCCCTCTGGGGTGAAGATCCTGAGAGCAAGACAGCTTGGGGTGTCTAAGGGCCAGAAAGGCTGGTCTACGGAGGGGAAGAAAGAGTGGAGGTGAGACTAGGAGGCAGAGACGGGAGCTGGTCACACGAGCCCCTGAGGCAAGTTCCCTTCCAGGGCCTGAGAGGAACCGGGAGAGCCGTGAGCTGGCTGCGGATCCAAAATTCACCTATAGGACTTGAGAACAGAAACCGGGGGGCTATGAAGGCCACTGCCAAAGTCTGGGTGGGGAGAGGCGTGGATGGCAAGGTGGAGATGGGGGTGGATTCGGGACACACTCTGGAGGGCAAGACGGACAACAGCCAGGACCGCTGGTGGACAGGCACGGCCTTCCTGGCTGCCCGTCCTGCCCCAGGGCCCAGCTCACCTTTGCCCAGACTCCTCCCTGGTCCCTCCTAGTCTGGACACTCTTAAGCCTCCCCCCTCCTCTTGTGCCCCTCCCCTCCCCACTTGCGTGCTGACCAGCTCCAAGGAGAGGGAGGACAGCGTGACTAGATTCCACAACAGCGGCTGCTCCTGGCAAGGAGGATGTGTCTGGGGTGCAAATCCCTCGTCTCTCCGGATAACCTAGGAAGCCATTACTCATGCAGATGAAAAACTTTTACTCCTCTCCTTGACAGCTTACGGCTCAAGGAGCCTTCCCTCTGTCAGTCCTCAGCTGGGAAGGAAGCTAATATTTTCCATCTGTAGCTGCTGGGATGATGGAACCGCTCCTGGTTTAATAATGAGCTTCTGGTGTTTGGCAGGACTGTGGAGTAATGAGAGGGAGGGGGAGGCAAAGAACAGGGAGAGTTTCCAGGAACCTGCACCTGAGAGCGGCAGGGGAAGGTGATTTCAAAGTGAAGGGCCGCTGGGAGGGGGCCGGCGAGCAGGCCTGAGGGGGCTGGGACCCAGCAGTGAGGGCCCGGCCCGGGTTCCAAGCCGGACTCGTCCCTTCTCCTATTTTGCTGGCTCAGCAAGAGTTGATGGCGCATCCACAACAGGCCGGGTCCAGGGTAGATGCTACACGAGGCCTTGGGAGGGAGGGTATTGCGAAATAAATAGAGCAATTATAATGCAGGGGGAACACATTGTCTAGGAGAAACTGCCACAGGCGTGGGTGCTGCCGGCAAGAGCAGGAGGCCAGACCTGAGGCGGAGGCAGGGACAGGTAAAGGGAGTGGCACTCCAGGCAGGGGTCAGCAGAGGCAGGACAGCTGGGGCCCGGGGTTTCGAGGCCCACAGGGTAGCTGAAATACGATCGTGAAGTGGGGTCGGCAGTTCTAAAACTGCCTGCGGCCCCGAGTTCTCTGCTCGCACAGGTGAGCGTGTCCGTAACCTGATTTCGTCCCACAGAACACAGGGCCAAGGGGCCGTGATGAGTGGGTGGTGCCTGAGCACGTGATTCAGACCTCGCGGTGGTCTCTACTTGGCGACAGGTGCTGGGGCGAGACCACAGGTGCCCAGGTGCAGCGGGGCGTGTAAAGGGCACCAGCTGTGGGCAGCGTCCACGGCAGCCCCATGCCTGCTTCATGGGCTTCAGGCAAATGTTCTCACTTCCTGAGTCCTCCCACCTGTGTGGAGACAGCGGACGAGGAAGCGCGCCTTAGAGCGACGCAAGGGTAGCCCAGAGGCAGAAGGGCCCCTGCAGAACGGCCCTCGGGAGCATGGGTGGTATTGGACAAAGACCCAGCAGTGGACCCCAAATTCACTGACCAGGGTCCACTCCAGAAACCCAGTGATCCAGGCCACTCACCCTGGACACGTAGCGGGAGGGGTAGATGGAAACGCCCTGATCTGTCATCCTCGTGGTCTGCGAAAGAGGTGTGCTCACGCCCCCGCCTGTAGCAGCATCGTCCGAACCAGAGCTGCGGGCTTGATGTTCTGGTCATTTTTCCTGAAACGCACACATACATACAAAGACAGACCAGTTACTATAACTATCTTCATGCGGTTGCAGCTACTGGGGGATGTGCAACTCAAGGGGAGCAGATGGGAGAGAATCATTCACAACAAGCAGTAGATTCCCAAATGAGGGGGTGAGTCATAGGGGTGTCCTGGGCGCCCAGGGGGTCACTGGCCTCCAGCATGGCAGGAGGATCCAGGTGAAGCTGTTCGGGATATGGGGGAGGTTGGGCTGGAGGCCAGAGCTCAGGTTCTTCTAGCTGGGGGGAGCTTCCCCTGAGATCCCCCTGAAAGTGGGCTAATTCGTACAGTAGGTTAAAAAATAGCCCCCAATAGTCACCCACGTCCTAATTCCTGGATCCCATGTGAGTCTTACTTTCTACGACTTGGCAGAGTCTGCAGATGCAATTAAGTGATCTTGAGATAGGAAATGATCTTGGATCATGGGGGGACCCCATGATATCAGACAAGGACGGCTGAAGGGTCAGAGCTAGGGAATTGGTGTGAGAACAAAAACAAGCCTAGAGGAAACGCCACGAGCCTGAACCACAGCCGATGCCCGTGGGTGGTGAGTTTTCTTCTACATTATTGTTATTGTTGTTTTCTGTTTTGTTATGCATGTGGCTAAAATGGAAGTCAGGTAGGCGCTTGCCCAGAGGACAGGAGCCCACCGGCTCAGGAGAATCCAGTCTCTAGCATGGAAGTAGAAAATGAGTGGCCCCCAAAGGCTGTAATTATTCTTGGCTGGAGATTATACAGACCTCAGCCGGGGAGGGCATCATCAGGAAGGTGGAAGATGGGAGACGATTGGGGGCCCTGGCTGAGATGACCCCCCACCCCCAGCTGAGATGACCTCCCCCTGGCTGGCCCTCCCATTCTGCTAGATTGTTAAAAGGAAGGCTAGTATCCCGGGAGCCTAGAATTTCAATTCAAATGCACTTGTTCTGTGTCTCACAGAGTTCCTGTAAGGTTGAAAGGCAGGTGGCCACAGCGGAAGGACCTCTTGCCTGGCCTGTGGCCGAGACTGGAAGGTTTATGAGAGAGACCACATTTGTTAGAAAGTTGTTCTCTTCAGGTGGAAGGCCCTGCTTGTCGTAGGTGGTAGATGCAGCCAACATTCTGGGTAAGGATCAGTTCACCATCCCCTCCCACATTCGGCTGTGAAAAAGCAGCCTGCAGATCCCGGGGAAGTCAGGCGCATGGCTGCAGGCATTTTTCTCCATATAAGAATTTATTTTGCAAATAAGCATAAAGTGACGTCAAACAAGCGGCAGATAATGATGTGTTCTGGCCATTGCAAAATCCAGACAGCCTTCGAGTTCCGCTGCCGTCACCACTGAGACTTTTGCAGCAGAATCTGGGAGACCGTCTCAGCTCCGAAGCTGCTCCTTTCCCCAGCCCCAATCCAGGGGCACCTCTGGCCTGGACTTGCATTGGGGCTGCTCAGATCAGCTCAGCTGGGCTGTCTGCTTTGCTGCGTAGTTCTGCGTCAGCCTGGCCCCCGGGGCTCGTGGTGAGAGGAGCCCGGAGCAGCCTGTCCTGGCGCCTGCGTCATCATCAGTCCTCATGCTCCCTGGTGGCTTCCGTGCCAGCCCTCAGCCATGGCTACTGTCCAGCTGCCTTTTAGACTTAAAACCTGGGGCCCCACGAGCCCAGGAAGGCAGCTCTAGAGCTAGGAGAGGTGAAGAAATATTTTCTCTCCAAGAGCCACCCAGAGACACAGCACCCGCCTTGGTTCGGTCCGTGCACACCCATTTCGGCTCCTGGCTTCCGAGCTGTGTGGTCTGAGCACCTGGGGCCAGGGCGCCGCAGCTCATCCATTCAGGCTCTTCCCAGGCCTGCAGCGGAGCACCCGCCCCACCACCGAGCTGCTTCATCTGGTACATCTGCTTTCAGAAAATTCAAGAAAGAGTGGCCAAAGGGGAGCCTTTAGATGTGGAACAGTGAGGGTCTTGTGTCAGGGGTCCCCAGCAGAGGATTTTGTGTGTAGGTTGTGCCCAAAACAGCCTCGGGAGCATGGGCATGGTGCAGGGAACAGGTGGGGGAAATAAAACAAGGGCTGTTTAAGAGGTCTTGTAGGCAGAGCGCACAGAGTAACGGTTCAGCAGGGGAGGGGCGGGCGCGGCAGCAAAGGGAAATGTTGCAGATCTGAAATGGTGTCTGGCCTGCGAGGGGCCTCCCTGGATGTTTTCTTTGCACTTCTCTGGGGCTCTGCTCACTCAGGCCGGCAAACCTGGACAACCACAAGCTACACTGAAGATTTTGACATGTCAACAGCATTTCAAAGCCTCGAAGAGGAGGAGCACCTCCAGCTGCCCAGGAGCAGTGCAGGGGAGGGAGGCAGGACGCTGGAGGCAGAGCTCCACCTGAGCCCCTGGCCGCGCCTGCTGTAATGTCCTTGTAGCGGCAGGAGGACACGGAGCAGGTTCTCTATGACCCGAGCAGTCTTCACTCTATCTGGGCTCTCCAGAGTTCTCTCTTGGCCTCTGCTTTGCTGCTGGTTAGCTTCCGTTCTGCCCTCTTGCTCGTTCTCCTCTGGTCTCTCACTCTGCGTTCCACTGGTGTCCCCGTGACGCCGCCCTTATAACCCCAGCCTTAGCCCAGGTGCACCCACTTACGCATGCCCGCACCCCACCCCAGGGGCCGCCATCAGGCATGCGTTCAGGACCGCAGATCCATCATCCATCCTAATGGCGGGAGGGCAGGAAAGCCTGACACTTTTTATTTACCCTGCAGTCCTAAAGGGTGGGAGACAGATGGGGCTCCCTCTCCCCTTCTCTAGGCCTCTGGGTCACCCACAGGCACACCCCTAGACACAGTCCTCGTAGCAAATGCTGCTTCTCGTTCCTTGAGCTTCTCACATGGGAGTCTGGCTGGGGTCCCCCCAACACAAGCGCGTCCTTGCACCTCTCCGCGCTGCTGGGTGACCCACACCTTCAGAAGAGCTGCTCTTCTCTCCGCGCAGCCTGCATGGGAGGAGGCCCAGCACGGGAGGAGGAAGGCGGCTCCCGCAGACGCCAGGTGCTGCCGGGTTCACCTGTGTCGCCTCGGTGCCCAGAGGGGCCCCAGGGTGGCAGGCTGAGCTGGCGCCTGCACACCGGACCCCCCAGACCGGGGCACGGCTCTGCTCTGACAGGGAGGAGTCTGTGCCCGCTGACAGCGCAGGCTCCGAGTGAGGCGGGACCGAGGGGCGCGGGGCTGAGGGTGTTGAACCGCGGGGGCTTCTGCTCTAGTGCTTGCGGCTGGAGGCCCGAGCCGGGGCACTGTCTTTGCACTGAAAATTAATAACGTGGAAAGCTGAGAAAGAAGGAGGCTGTGCGCCTGCCCGCCAGGCACCTGGGCAGAGGAGGGGCATCCTATTTTTATCTAGAAACGCCATGTCGGGTGACACTGCTCTAAAGGGGTTGCGAGTTTCCTCTTGGCAAACAAGTCTCCATCCCGGCGGCTCTGAAAGGGAAGCTCCGAGTTGCAGGCGCGCGTGTGCCCGCGTGCACACACGCCCATGTGAGTGTGTGTGGGTGTGTGCGCGTGCGTGGGCGTGTGTGAGCGCCCACAGGGACCGTGGAGAGAAGCCCAACAATGCTACCGCAGCACTTTCTAACACCTGCAGCCTGCTGGCAGCATGGCCGAGCCTGCTGCTCCTTCTCCCAGGGCAAATGAACAACCCAGACGTCCCTCCGAGCCCTGCACCTTGGCCCAGCTGCTGAGGAGCCCAGCTGAGCACCTGCCCCTCCTGCCTGCGCCCGCCCAGCCTGCTGAGCAGGGCTAGCCAGGGCTGTCCGGCCGGGCTCCCCTGCTCTGCGTCCAAACCTGGGCCAAGGCCTCTCCACCCCCTCCTCGCCTCCCTCAGATCTCCCCTCTCTGACGCTCTGAGCCCCCCACCCCAGCCCACCCCCGTGCCCCCTGCTCCTCTCGTTCCCACGTCTGCAGCTGCAGGCTGTCGGCTGTGCCCACGGAGGCCCCGCGGACGCGCTTCTGGCCAGCCTGGGATGACCGCCCGCGCTGATCTCTCCTCTCTGCCCTCAAGCCCCAGGGGATCAGGAGAAAGGGGTGGGGGTGGCAATGATGGCGGAGTGCCCGGCACATCGGGGAGCACCCCTGGAAGGGTGAGAAAGGGGCTGGCAGGGGAGCGGGGAAGGGGGAAGTGGCCCCAAGAGCTGAGAGTCCCTGAGAGATTCCCGGCCGGGAGGCTCAGGGACAGGGAGGCCCACGGCCCAAAGCTTGGGGCTGGCCAGTCAGTATAAAGGAGCCAGTGAACCCCCCTCCCCAGCACTTCCCCACCTGCTCAAGTGACCCCTCCTCCCAAGAGGGGGGTGATGGTGTGCGGAAGCCACACCTCCCCGGCTTGAGCTCCCCTGGCCTGGTGCTGGGTAGGAAGCGGGGGCTGCTGGCTGGAAAAGGAGGTGTCAGGTGAAATTCCACACCTTAAACTGGGGAAGCCTCTGCTCCCTCCTGCTCTGCTCCTGGGAAGGAGATAGAAAGATGCCCGCTTCCCCACTGGCCGCAGGAACCCCAAGAAGCAACTCTGCACAGCAGCAGCTCCTCCGCCGAGGGGCCAGGCGGCACCCCTGCACGCAGGGTCTGCTCCTGAGAGAAGCAGCCGGTCCAGGCAAGAAAAAGCTTTTCCTGAGGAAAAGCTCCCACAGGAAAGTGAGAAACCGAATTAATTCAAGGAAGTTAAAACACAAACATCTTGAGGAAATTAAAATTGGGGGGGGGTATCCTTAGGATGGTAAGAAATGGGAGAAGCCACACAGAGAATGAGAACAGGAGACTCGAGGCCAGGAGACAGTTAGAGAGTAAAGAGAATAAGCAGAATGAAAAATTCTTCCATGAAGAGCTGAGGAAAGCAGAAGGAAGAGACCAAAGGGTGGAGCGTTAAGAGGGAAGAGATGGTTGGAGGGTCCAGCTGTCCACACCCGACTGAATGTGTTCTGGAAAGAAAACAGAGGGAAATGTTGGCTTTGCCAAGTACCTGAGCCTGCCGGCCCCGCTTACAGCCCAGACAAGTCCTCACCTGAAACTAACTGTCCCGAGAAGACCAGAAGCGGCATTTGGCCTGGGAGCTTCTCCTGACCCTGAGAGCAGGACGGATCCAGAGCCTCACCAGGGTGAGCAGGGACTGGAGCCTGGCCCTGCCCTGTTCTCAGCAACGATGGATGGGCGGGGATTGCAAGGGTCAGACTATAAATTACTTTTTTAAAAAAGCAAAAACAATTTTTCCCCTTTCCATTTTCCCTCCTGTACAGCAGCACAGACTCCCACTGACTTTCATCTGGATTGTCTTGACCTTCTAGAATCTTCTCCCACACACCCTTCCTCACTCTGGGCTGTTATAGACATGGCTGCCGCGCAACCAGCCTTTTCAAGCATGGGACTAGTCACCGCTGCTGGGACCTTCTCCAGATCCCTGAGTCCTGGGGCCCTTAGCCTGTAGCGCTGTCCCAGGCTTCCTTTTGAACCTCGTCAGGTGATGGGTCCCCAGGAGAAGGGGAAGCCCCAGGTTCCCTGCCCCTCTCAAGGGAGGGTGTTGCTGAGCAGGGAAGAGAGGCTGGAGAGGAGACTGGGGCAGGAAGGAAGCAGGGTGGGGAGCCAGCAGGAGACCTGGAGGAGGCACATGGAGCAGAGACACGTGAAGGAGCTGCACTTGCTTCTTGGTCCTGGGCGAGTTGACACAGATGAGGGTGAGAGACCCATGGGGAGCTTAACAATGGCAGCTTTTATCTTGATTTTGATTTTCTGTCCCAGACATGCTGGGCCCTTCTGCTCTTTCCCTGTGGATCCCCACCAGGAGGTGCCTTAGACCAGTGGCAGCTTTTGGGCCTCCGTGGCCCTGCTTTGGGCCAACCCTGTTTGGCTGGACCTTTGCCCACGAGGGGACGGGTAACTTTGGGTGCTCGATTTGGAAACTATATTCTTTGTCTTTTCTGTATTGCACACCAGTTGTATGAAAGGTCCTTTCCATTAAAGGTCTTATGCACTGGAGTATGTTTTGTCTTGATATGGTGGGTGGCAGAAACTATTTAGAGTGGGCAGGTTTGGGGGTTCTGGGGTGCCCCTCACCCTGTCTTATAACAACTGGATACCATTCCCTGGGCAAGAGGGGGTAGGAAAGTTTCATTCCTAATTGCTTTCGCTGTCTGGTTTCCAAGTCCCTACGCCACCACTCTAGGGAAACGTAACACTGGAAGGCACGGACTTGGGACCCCACAAAAGGAAATCACTGACTTCTCGGGGCAGGATGCACAGATCCCCCTGGAGGAAGTGACCATCGGGGTGAAGGCAGGTCTCCCCAGCGCCGTGGGCAGCTCACAAGGTACACGGGATGGGCGGGATCTGCAGTCATGATCCCCCCACTAGATGTGAGGGTCTTGGGGACAGAGACAAGGGCTTTCTTTCATGCACCGTCAGAAACTATCCCAGAGTGGATGAAGAAATGATCAGATGGTGTCTCCAGGCCTCATCTTTGCCCATCTAGTTCTTACTCCTCCTCTTCTGACACCCAGTTGTGGAGCTCAGTGGGGGTTTCGCCCACTCAACCTGCGCTCTCAGCTCCGGAGCGCCCCCCGGCTGTCCTGCCCCAAACCCCATCCCTGCAGAGGGGCTGTCTTTGGCCATTGCTCTGCATTCACACAGGACTTTGTCTACAAAGTCTATGTGCAGATATTTGGCAGGTTGGCGGTAGGGGCTTCTGCCCTGGATGACTAGGAAATTGCACCGTCCAACTGAAACAGTTGCAGTGGAGCTCCCTTGCAGTGGAGAATTTCCTCACGGTGGCTTTTCACAAAAGGTCATTGTGACGTTTCCCACCAGGCTTGACTGCAGCGGGTGAGCCGCATGTTGGGTGCCTCCCTCCCAGCTAAAGTCTGGAGAGGAAATGGACCAAGAGCTGTAAGGAAAATGGAGTGACTCAGGCTTTTATTTATTTATTTTTGTTGCCTTCCTGACACCAGCTTCTACAGCTGCCACCTGTGGCCTTGCTGTCCTCCCAGGCTTCATTGCCCGTGTGTGATAACGTGAGATTACAAACAGCCTTGGGAACGTGAGCACGGGGCACACACACCTGTAGTCAAAGACAACTGGGCCCAGAAGCCGGGCGCACGGGAGTGTCCATATGTAAATGTGGACGCCTGCGGGAGGTACGCAAGGCTGGGGGAGAAAGAGAAGTCAGACTGTGCGGACATGGTGGGGTGGGTGGCTGGGGGGCTAGGTTTTGGCCTGCCTGCCTCCCTCCCTGCCTGCTGATCTGCCTGTGAGTCCAGCCCCCAGTTCAGCATTCAAGGCATGTCGGAGATACCAATGACTCCAAGGTTCTCTTTTTGTCTGCTCAAATCAACAGTGAACCTGCCT